TGTATCCACAGGAAACCTGGTGAGGGTGCAGTGAGGAAGGCTAAGCTGCAGGTAAATTTTGAGATTAGTAACTATACTGAAGATAGTTAAAAACATAAAAAAAGATCAGCTCAGCTTAGAAAGAATATAAACTTTTCAAAGAGGAAGAACAAAAATAAATTCTAGGGAATATCGAAGTTTAGAATATAAAAGTAGGAAAGAGAATCCATAGATGAGAAAAAAATATGACTAGGAGAGAGAAAAAAAATAGTTGATCAATTAAACTGGAGAAAGAATAACGTTTTTAACAAATGATGGTAAGACAACTGGATATCCCCATGCACAAAAAATGAAGTTAGATCTCTACCTCACAAACACCCTAAAGTTAACTCTCAACAGACCACTGACCTATCTTTAAAGACTAAACCAGTGGCCAGCCAGCCAGTGCTGCAGCAATAGCATGACACTCTGTGCTGGTGGACCCACATGGGAAGATCCTGGGTTCAAATCCTGAGGTCTCCCTGTGAATTCTGGGTGTGCATGCATGTGCCTGTGGTCCTGGATGGCTTCAGCTGGGATTGTGCCTCTATGCAAAGAATATGTTGGGGATGCTTGTTTCTTTCTCTCTCTTTCTGTTTTGTTTATGAAATAAATAAGTAAACTTAAAAAAGCTAGAACAATAAAACTCTTGGAAGAAAATATAGGCATTAATTTTAAGGACTTTCAGTGAGGCAAAGCTTTCTTAGATGCAACACTAAGAGCAGAGTGATAAATGAAAAAAAATGATAAATTGGATTTCTTCAAAATCTTTGTGCCTCAAATGACACTGTCAGGAAAGTAAAAAGACAACCAAAGTTCACATATCACATATCTAAGAGAGATTGCCTTTGAAATCCAGATAGAACTCTTAACATTCAAAGAAACCCAAACCAATTAAAATTAAATAATCCAAATAAATGTGTCTGTAAAAATGTACATGAATGGCCAATAAACACGTGAAGAGATACTCAATATGATTAATTAATAGATAAACTCCAATCAAAACTACAATCACAATGAGATACCACTTCACATCAGCTAAGATGGCTATAATAATAAAAAATAAACTAAAAACTGAAAATAAGTGTTAAAACTATGGAGAAATTTACACCTTCATATATTACTAATAGGAATATAATATGATGCAATTATCTTGGAAAAAATTTTGACAGTTTTTCCAAATATCAAACAGATATGATCTAGAAATTATATCTCTAGGTATATATTTTTTCAAAGAACTAAAAATAGATATTTGCACAGAAACTTTTAAATGGATGTTTCTACCTGCATTATTTCATAATAGCTAAAACACAGACACCTTAATGTCCATCAGCTTATAAATGGATAAACAAAACGTAGCATATCTGTACAATGAGATATTATTCAGCTATGAAAAAGCATGAAATACTGATCTATGCTATAACTTAGATGAAAGACAATTCTGAATATAAGGTAAGGCCTTATAGAAAATGATTAAGGTTACTTGTAATGTCAAGAGTCACATAAAGCCACATATAAAATGATTAAATTAACTTTTCATGTCAAAAATGGGATGAATCCATATAGGCAGAAATAATTTTAGTGTTTGATAGGGGCTGAGGAAGAGTTAAAGAGGGGAGTGGATAGTGATTGTTAGTGGGTATAGTGTTTTTTGGGGGGGATAATAAAAATGTCCTGGAATTGTAGAATGGTTTACAAACTTGTGAATATATTTAAAACACTGACTCATTTAAAATGGTACCTGAATGGGACCAGCAGATGGTGTAATGGTTACATCCCTGGGCTCCCATGCAGTCAGCCATGGTTCAAGTCCTGGACCTGGTAGCTTAAAACTCATGCCGGGCAAGTGTGTGTGTGTGTGTATGTGTGTGTGTGTGTATGTGTGTGTGTGTGTATGTGTGTGTGTGTACTCAAAATCCTAGTAGGAGAATGAGGAGAATGGAGGAGAAGGAATTGTGGTATGGTCATCCATCCTAGGGAGTGATTTCTCATTTTCTGTCTGTTTCTCTGTTAAGTTCACACACCCTATAGCAAAAATTTCTCAAAACATGGGGGGTGGGTGGCAGCAGTTAGTGTAATGGCTATGTCTCTGGACTCCTATGTAGTTGACCACGGTTCGAGTCCTGGACCTGGTGGCTTAAACTCACCCTGGACACGTGTGCGTGCGTGCCCAAGATCCCAAGAAGAGAATGGAGGAGAAGGGATTGCAGCGTGGCCATCCTCCCTAAGGGGTGATTTCTCACTTTATGTTTCTCTGTCTCTCTCTGTCTTCCTGGTGTGCGCATGTGCCCTATAGCAAAAACCTCTAAAAAAAAAAATGGGGGGGTGTCACAGCATGTAGCATGGTGGTTAAGGGCGCTGGACTCCCACATGGCCGACCACGGTCCAAGTCCTGGACCTGGAGACTTTCTTTCTCATTTTCCTTCTCTTTCTCTCTCTCTCTCTGTCTCCGTCTCTGGTCAAAATAAAATACGTGAAGAAATAAATAAAGTTAAATAAAGTAATTCTTAAAAAATATGATACCTGAAGTAAATCTCAATAAAGTTGTTTAAAAAGTAGCTTCTATGTTTCCATCCCCCATACCTTATGGAAACTTGATGTCATTGAATGGTTTACCTGATGTTCTTCATCAGTCCTGCGTGTAGTCATTGCAAACAACTTGGGCTGAGTGCAGTGTTGGGATTCAGCATGAAACTACTGGATTTGGCCAAGCGAATCTGCTATGTACACTAACTACGCCTTCAAATTTATGTACCAACTCTCTGAAACCATAAAATCAATCCTGGATTTGCATTTTCTTATGGCAGTGTGGACAGAATGTCATGGGTGATGGAGACTCAAGGCTCTATAATTCCCCAAGAAGAAAAGACTTCTGCTGAGAGACACATCTGTACTTAAATTCAGAGTAATACTTTAATCTTCTAAATCAGTGGGAGTTTTCAAAATTTCACTTAGGCTCATCTGCCATGGCATGCCTCCCTGGTGCTCTTCTAAGTTAGATGTCTTTTTCTTCTTTGTTTACTTACAGAAAATGTACAAAGGCCAACAAATCTGTATTCTTTACAGTAATCTAATATAGAGGCAGAGCAGAACTCTGACATAGTCTGAACAAAGTCAATCCTGATCATTCTTTCTTAGTTGGCAAATCTAAGGTAGATTGGTTGTCATTTTATGTTATATGACTAGTAAAAAGTCATAAAGTTCAAGATGGGGAGTCTGTTTTTATACAGACATAACTTTTTTTTCTTTCCTCAAGAGAACAAACAATTTGAAGTGATGCAGACTGAATTTGAATGTCATTTCCAATATATGTTACCGAATGACCTTGAGCAAGTTATATGACCATTTTGAGTCTGTCACTTCAACTGCAAAAGAGGAAAATAATGGAAAGGACTATCATAGTTAGTTCCTATCATAGGATATAAAGCAATGAATGCGAAATTGTTATATAAGCAAAAATGTGTTCAACAACTCGAGTATTATTTTCTAATATACACATTGAAAACAAATGACTAAGCAGCCATTATGTCTTTGTTGAGTTTGCAACTCAAATGATCAGTTTCCAAAGTGAGGAGAATATCTATTGTTAGAAAACTCTCGAACGTGGTGATTAAGGATGATGGATCCTTCATGGCAACCATGGTTTGAATCTTGGTTCTGGCAACTTGAAAATAAAAATTCCAAGTACATGCGTGTGTGTGCCCCAAATCCTGACAGGGTGAAGAAATGGAGAAGGAATCTTAGATTGACGTGCCTTACTGCGTGTGTGTGTGGGGTTGGGGGGAGGGCGGCAAGGGTGCTTTCTTGCTCACTCTGTCTTTCTCTGCTGAGTGCACATGCCCTCTGGCAGTTACAAACAAAACAACAAGCCAACACTCTGGCAGGAGTAAACTAGAGTACATCTTTCATTGGGGTTGGAGTTAAGTTTTAGCAAAGTATGGTTGGTGTCATTTTTCTTTATAAATGACATGCAAATCACCAATGAATGATATGTAGATGCCTAGTTATATCTGTTGTGGAGCTTCCTGTCCCAGGGGCAGGTATCTACTCTCTAAAACTTATTGCTTATCTATTTTAGCAGTGAGATTTGAAAACACATCTCTTCTGTATGAATATCTCAGATTTTAGTCCCATTAAAAATTAAAAGAAAAACAAACACCAACTAGCAAATTAGATGGTTAATCCAATTTCCATCCTCTCCAAAGTTTTATAGAAAATATGTGTTTTTTTTCTAGAAATACTGTCTACAACATGAGTAAAGGGGATGCTTCATCAGAATTTTACTATAAATGACCTGTCTCTGAAAAAAAAATAAATAAAATAATATGAACTACCGCCTTTAAACAGGAATTCCTGGACACCAACTGACCTTTTCTTTCTGGGTCTTTGACTCACTCCAACCTTTGCTGAACACCAACTTTGTGTCCAAAGCTGGGCTAGGTGTTCTAGATGTGGTGTTCCAGGCAATAGCAAGAGTTTTCTTAGGATTTAGTAGAACCAGTTCTTTGTCAAAAAAAAAAAAAAAAAATCCAGTTTAGATCTTGATGTTCTTCATTTTGCTCACATCAATAATACGGATACCATTAATTTCTATTTTACTAGGAGGGTTCTTGTGAGACTCAAATGAAATACTGTATGAGGAAGTGCTTTACACATAATTGCTTAAACAGGATACCCTGCTAGAATAATAATTTTAAAAGACCATGTTGTAAAGAGGCTAGAATTTAATCTTTCACTCAGTGAATAGGTGCTGCTTGCCAGTGTTGCTTTTAAAAATGGTATTTTGTATCATAGATGTACTGTCCCATTTCCCCCTAAGTTTTTAATAAAGCATATTAAATATTGGATGTTCATTACAGAACACTTGGAAAACAAAGCAAAGTGACACATAACATTTTCTGCCATTAGAAACCACCATTCCAACTTAATGACTGTTAGCATTTTGGTGAATTGTGCAGTTAGGGCTCCTTGTTGAGTCTCACCTGAAGAAAGGATTCCTTCAGGTGCGGGAACTTGGGCGTCCAGCCTCCAGCCCCACCGCCAGCACCTGGTGTGGACACACAGATTGGAATCAGATGAAGCTCAGAAATCTTCAAAAATCCTCAAGCAGGCAGGCCGTCTTAACCGTCCCGAAACCTCTTCGCAGTGACATTTATGGGTTAAGGAGCTTGCAGTGGCTTTGTGGTCGGTACCTTTCTGGCCGCTGCTTGTTCCTGCCCTCCTTCCATCCGCATGAGGCAAAGCGTTGTGCATTTCTAATTAGAGCAGTATTTTAACGCTCTCCAGAACGACGTTCTTCCAAACGCAGTTTAATCAGGTGGGGGACACCTGCGTGGGACTCTAAGCGTCTGGTAGTCTTTCTCGGTGAATTGGGTCTCAGTCCTGCCACGGGCGCAAGTTCGATTACTGGCAGATGAGGTTTCTCCTCGCCCCTGCCCCGCCCCTCGCCATCCTCGGGAAAAGCGGGAGTAAACGAGCGACTCCAGGCCGGTGTTCGCCAAGTGACCAGAGCGTAGCCGGGCGACCGAGCGCGCGGGGCCACCCTGGGCACCCCCTCCCGCGCCCCACGCCTCCAGCACCGGTGACAACGCGCCCTCCGGGCTCCGGAGCGGCGGCGCCGAGCAACCCCGGGCTGGACTCGCCTTGCCGGTGACATCACTCGCGAAGATACTCCCAGCTCCCAGCTCCTGCCTTGGCGAGCCGCCCGTCTGTTTGTCCATCTCCGTCGGTCCGCCGCCGGAAAGGGCTCATCGTTGGCTGGGGACAGAGACAGCCTCTGAGGAGCGACAGGACCTCGAAGAGGCGAGAGAGCGGAGACAGCGAGAAGAGGAGGACCCCGGCAGGCAACAGCATGAAATTCAGCCCCGCGCACTACTTGCTGCCCCTCCTGCCGGCGCTGGTCCTGGGCACCAGGTGAGTCCGCGAGGGTGAGTGACTTGAGCCACCGGGCGCTCCCGGAGAGGCGAGGTGGGTCCTACTGCGGGGCACCAGTAGAGGTCAAAGCACTGGGCTGTTTGCGTCGCCCTCCGGAGGAAGAGGGTCGCTCTAAGATTCAGAATCCGTGATGCCTCCTGGAGAGCAGAGACCTTCCCGTTGTATCTAGTTCTCCCAGCCCCATGGAGAAAGTGTCAGGACTGTTTCCAGTGAGGGGTCCCAGAGAGCGTTCCCTTCAGAGAGAGAGGGGGAAAGAAAGAAGGAAACAAACAAAACACACACACACACACACACAGTTTTCCTTCAGCCTTAGTAGCGAACAGATAGCACGCGGTAACGGAACAGAATGAAGAAAGGGAATAGACGAGAAGGAGATTTCCACCAGGCAGTCTGTACATTGGAGCTGTCTTACTGTAAGAGCTAGAGCACGCTCCCCCTCCCCCAAATGTGCGTGATTTTAGGGTACAGGGAACCAGATAAAACAGGTGAGTCCTGGAAGCTTAGACTTGTGCAAAAGTTCCTGGTCTCCCGAAACATCCTGTTTTAGTGTCTAGGGTAGGCACAGTGACAGGCATTGGACTGTCAAGTGAACAGGTGTAACTGATGAGCACAGAAGGCGATTAAAAGTTAGAAGTCACCCTCAGGGTATTGATGCAAAGACCCCAGTCAGAAACAGTTGAGTACTGTACTCCATCATTGGCAGTGGATGCAACTGTAAGCCTCAGCACAGAACAGCTATTTTTACTGGCGATTTAAAATGCAGGGATTGAGAAGAGTTTTGTGACTTCCCACTGTTGATCAGGTCCCAAAGTTGGGGATGGGGCTGCTTTCTTCCTGGACAAGCACAGCACAAAGGTGGACTGTTCGATTGCCCAGGACCGAGTCTTTATCCTGCACGCCTTTAGCATCCCATTGGCAGCAACCTCTTTCC